GGTGTGTCAGGAGAAGGGCCAAGCGGGACTCGAGGGAGGGCGTCCGCGAGCACACCTGCCTCGGGTCCTAAAGATGTTCTAGTCACGTGTGTGCGGGCTGACGGCCGTGAGCACCTGCTCTGGTTCTCTCTGGGATTCTTTGTGCATTTTAGAATTTTCAGGAGGTCTGTGAAGCACGTTAACTCTAGATTGAGGGACTCACTAGCCCTTCGAGAAGGAGCCTCTGGCCCCGGGTCCCACCTTCGGAGTTGCTGTGTCTTCAGCAACGAGTGGAGCCAGGTTTGTGTAGCTGACACGGAACGCCAGGACTTCCTACTTCAGGGTGCCTGGAGGAACCCCAGTTTGGAGGCGGAGGCTGCGTGCAGTGTCCTGAAGAAGGCGTGTTTGTGTTTGCCCAGCAAAGGCTGCCACACGGCCAACGTCGGCAGCACGGAAGCTGTAGCGACAGGGCTGTCTCCGCCCGCGGCGTTCTAGCATCCAAACGCACGGCGGGGGCCGGAGAGGGGGCCAGGTCCTCACGGGAGAGCCACGTGGCTCTCGTGGCACACGCCCGCGGGCCCACCCTGCACTATGACAGCTTCTGCTGCAGCTCTTCTCCCGGAAGAGCTGAATGTGGGGGCTTTTATATCCTCCCCCAAAAGTTCTTCCACTGGGAGCCACGGGAGAGCTCGGTTTTCTTTTAAGCAGGCCTCTCTTTAGTAAGCAGGTTCCAGAAATAGAAAAGGCGTGGTGGTTGCACGATCGTCCCCAGAGCTGCCTTTCCATTTTAAATGCGAAACAGATGGCCTTAAGTCCTGAGAGGCTTTCTTCAAGAGGCTTCCTTCCTCTCCACGTCCCTAAAGGGTTCGAATGGTCCCCGTCAGGGCCCGCTTATCTGCTGTGGTCCAAGGTTGCACACGCCTGTCCTCGGGGCAGGTGCGGGGAGGCTTTTGTTACTGAAAATGCCGGGTGGTAGGCCTCCTGGGTCCCTGCTAAAGGCAGCAGCCAGTCAGAACACTCTGCAAGGTCCTGTGATCGAAGCAACAGCCTCTGTGAGTTTGGCTTGCTGGGGATCCTTCAGGCTGTCCATCGATTAAAGGTCGATCAGTTAAATCAGCGTCTCTGAGGTGGGCCCTGAGCCACCTCTGAGGTGCACGGTCTCACCTCCCCCGTGACGTGACGGGGGTCAGGGCTTAGCATTCCGCCCCTGGAGGTCTGGGACACCTGTACCCGCACAGCCCCGCCTATAAACCCCTATCATTTATCTATTTATATCATATCCTATAAATTTACATCTATTTCAAATACTTTTTTCCGTGTTCCCATCTTTCCGTTGTTTCGGGCTGAAGAAACAGCTGGAAGGAAATGTAGAGGGCCAGCCACCGTCCGTGTCCCCTGGGACGTGACCCGTCTGTGGGGTGTGGGGGGCCGCTCGCCTGTCAGAAACACTGTGGCACACACCGGCTGACCGTGGGTGTGGAAACACCCCGCCCCTTGAACTAACAAAGCACAAGAATATGCAACGATCGTTAAGCACGATGCTGTCAGCAATGCCCCGGGTCATGTGTGTGATGGGGAGATATCGTAGGACGGCCCAGGACAGCGTGCAGACCTCTGAGTCGTTCCACGTGCATCAGAAGCCCCAGCTGACCGGGCTGCACGGAAGGCGGACGGGGACAAGGGGGGGTCTCGCTCAGGCTGGAATCTCCGCGCGCGCCTTGAGCGCAGGGCGCCCGCAGCGGGCGCCTGGAGGAAACACGGAGTCGCCGAGGAGAAGCAGGTGCCGATGAGATACGTGCTGTGTGTGTGGACGTGACTGTGGTTGAATCCTGTGCTGTGAACCACACGGCTGCAGGGATTGTGCACAGAAGAGCTGCAGTTCTAGAAAAGCCCGACTCGTAAGGGCTGGAGGAACGGACTGCAGAGCAAAGTGTGTGGCATTGTCCATCCGAGAAAACATTCTTCTTAGAATCCAGTCAGGCAGGAGACGCGCTGTGCACTTTCCGGCACTCAAATCCGTGTTGGGTTTTAGGTGCAACGTTGGCATCATGGCTTACGGACAGACGGGATGTGGCAAGAGTTATACCATGCTGGGCCCCCAGTCCACGGGGGAGCCCGTCCCGTCGTGGGAACCGCACAGCGACCTGGGAGTCCTGCCCAGGGCTGCCGGAGAGCTCTTCAGGTACCTGGGGGGCAGCGAGCAGGGGACCGGAGCAGCGGGGGTGGGGGGACGGGAGGGTGCGGAGACCACACCCAGCGCTCCTCCCAGGACCCACGACAGACCACGCAGTGTTCAAACACGCCACGCCTCGGTACCACGGACGCTAGAAATTCTTAAGGCACATCTATGTCGAAACGCTTCGTTAAGAGAAAACTGCTGGAGGGAGATCCCTAGCTAGACAGCTTCCCTGGCCGGGAGAGGGCCGCGCACGGAGTTTTTTCTGTTCCAGAACGGGAAGGGGACCGAGGGAAACCTCCGTTGTCCTTTCCTCGCCTCCTGGCCCTGGAAAGAGTAGACACCTCTGGTTTACTTCTTCGGAGCTACAGGGAGCTGGGCACGTTGGGGACGCTCCTGTCCCGTGAACACGCCCCCACAAGGGACCCACTGCATATTATGGTTTTACCAACACAATTACTCTTGGAAACAGATAGCAGCAGGCCGTCCTGCTGCCCAAATCACCACGGAATTCTGGAACAGAGCTGTGGTCCCACACTCCACCCCCTTGGCCCAGACACCAGCCCTCCCTGCCTTCAGGGAGCCGCCCTGCAAGATACACCTTCCTGGGGTGTCTAGGTGGCTCATTCAGTAAGCATCCGCCTTCAGGTCAGGATCTCGAGGTCCGTGAGTTCGAGCCCCACATCGGGCTCTGTGCCGGCAGCTCGGAGC